GAGATTAACAGGTTTTCAAGTAGTACAGCTGGATGGACTGAAATGGGACCTTTCCATAACCACTCTCTCTCAAATCTTGATCATGAACTTCATTTAAAATGGTATCAGACAGGACTCATCTCCTGAGGCTTTCACATTTCTACTCTTCCTCACAGCACTTCACCTATGAGGAACTGTGCTTAGTGGGATTTATTTTGCCACAATAACTCTACCCAGGGCTTCGTGCTAGGTTTTCTAAGCACCCAATTATTAGATGGTAGAGAAGAAGACAGAACTACCTCAATGGAGCTGCTTAGCTGCCTAATTGCTACAGGTATGAGGTTTCACACCTGTAAAGGCCAGAGTACCAAGTTAGTATACCTCACTGTACTGAGTTAGTACCAACCAGAGTACCAAGTTAGTATATCTCACAGGCCAGAGTACCAAGTTAGTACCAACCTCACTGACCCAGAGAGCTATTTCTCTTTTCTTTAAAAATTTTCACTATACTATTAAATAATAGTCCTTGCCTTTAGGCATACTTCTACTTTGAAGATAAGGCTTTAAATTTAATTTGCTATTACCTTATACATGTCTCTCTGTTCAGCCATACTGCCCCTCCCCCGCCACCCTGCACTTAAAATCACTTTTGCTTTGTTCCCCCCCCCMCACACACACACTCAGATACTTTACTCATTAGGATCCTTCCACTTAGAATACTCTGCTCTAACAACCGATCTTCCTATTCAAATGTCAATTCCTCAAGGCAACAGATGTCTTTTCTTCATAAGACTTCTCACAATCACAATTTCTTCTTGTGTTTATTTTCTATGTTTTATTCTTTCTGGTCAAATCCTAAATTATCCTAATTATTTAGGGCCCAGGCCAATGCCTCCTCTATGAAGTCTTCTGATAAGTCCCTCCCAGACTTAATAGTCAGGGCCCTTTCATGGTATTCCATTAAGTATCTCCAATCATTTCACTTACATCTGTCTCCCTGATGGAGTGAAGTGTTCCTTGAGGACACTCATTTGCATATATGTTTGATATATAGCAAATATGACTTAATAGCCATTGGTTAACTATTTTTTTGTACTAAGTACATTTAAAATAGAGATAATATAGGAAAAAATATCAGAACAATGAATAAAAATAAGTGTATTTAGAAATAAAAAAAGTACCAGTCTCAAAATTAAAGGAATATGCACACTAATTTCTTAATTTTATAAGAGGTACTGGTCGTCAGGCACAAGAATAATAAATAATGACTGTATAATTTTAAAAATTTGTCATCTCAATAAATTTCATGGGGCTGGGGTTGTGGCTCAGTGGTAGAGCGCTCGCCTCGCATGTGCACGACCCTGGTTCGATCCTCAGCACCACATAAAAATAAATAAGTGAAATAAAAGTATTGTGTCAAACTACAACTAAAAAATACATTTAAAAAAATAATAATAAATAAATTTCATAACCATTCTCATAGGTAAATAAGGCAAATAGATGCTCTGTTTTACAAATGAGGACACTAGTTTAAAGACTTATTTACCCAAACTCATACGGCTAGTAATCAAATGGGTATAGGATTCAAATCCCAATCTTAGGATTGTAAATGCCAAATTCTTTTCACTGTTTCAGAGGTGATATATTATCTCGCAGGAACAATTTCATCCCTATAAAAAATAATCGTGATTGTCATGACAATAAAAATTTTTGATAAACTCTTAAAAATGACTTTGAAAGATGAACCACAACAGGAGCCTGGGGGGCTGGAATTGTAGCTCACTGACAGAGTGTTTGCCTAGTATGTGTAGGCACTCGGTTCAATCCTCAGCATCACATAAAAATAAATAATTAAAATAAAGGTATTGTATTCATCTATAACTCAAAATATTTTTAAAAACACAAACAGAAGCCTGGGACAGCTACTGAAATAGAGATCTATAAATTAGAGAAAATATTCCAGCGATGTTCAACAGAGATCAAGAATTTATCCTGTTTTTCTTGTAAAACAGGAGATAATAAGCTAGGATTACAGGCATGCACCACTGAGTCCAGCTAAGAGCTCTTTGTATATTGTGAATATTGGCCCTATATAAAAGCTATGTCCATGCTGGGTGCAATGGTACACATCTATAATCCCAGCTGAGCCAGAAGATTACAAGTTTGAGACTAACCTCTGTAATTCAGGGAGACCTTGTCTCAAAATAAAAAATAAAAGGGCTGGGGATAGCTCAGTGGTAAAGCACTACAAGATTTAAACAAAACAAAACAGATTTTATGACAGAATTGAATCTGGAGGTGCTTTACCACTGAGCTACATCACTAGTCCTTTTTGAGACAGGGTTTCACCAAGTTCCTTTAGGCCTTGCTAAGTTGCTGAGGCTGACCTTAAACTTGTGACCCTCCTCCCTCAGTCTCCCAATGCAGTCATTTTTTAATGCTCTTATGTACACCTACATTCTGTTTGTCTTACAGGTTCTAAGAATATTATTCTCATATTCTACCCCTGAATTTGTTGTTGTTATACACCAGTCTGTTATAAAAGTTACATGGCTGGGCTGGGGCTCAGTGGTAGGGCACTTGTCTGGCATTTGTGAAGTACTAGGTTCAATTCTCAGCACCGCATATAAATAAATAAAATAAAGATATATCAACAACTTTAAAAAAAGTTACATGGCAAAGTAAGTTTTGGAAAAATTAAGTTAATAAAATAAAACTGATTCTTTCCTTTAAGAGTTCTCAGAGACCTCAATATGTTAGTGAGTACTAGGAACCCCTACAAATAGTATATACTTCAAGCACTTTCCAAAATTTACTTTTACCATTTATCCTTTTTTCTTCTATGGGTCACCTATGAACATATCTGAATACAGTATATCTGTATTAATTGATGAGACTTCCTTCCCTTTTTAAACAAAAACAAGGGGGGGGGTACCAGGGATTGAACTCAAGGGACCTTAATCACTAGCCACATCCTTAGCCTTTTTTAATTTTTATTTTAAGACAGGATCTCACTAAGTTGACTAGAGCCTTGCTAAGTTTCTGAGGCTGGCCTCAAACTTGTGAGCCTCCTGCCTCTGCCTCCCAAACTGTTAGGATTACAGGTGTGTGCCACCATGCCTGGCAAACAAAAATAATTAAAGAAAAATATTTTTGACTATTTTAATTCCTTCTCTTATAATCCCCAATCTTCCCATATTTATATTAAAATACTTTCATTCTAGTTACTTCTCTGTTTTTTGTGCATGTAAAATAACATCATTGGGTACAAGGTTGGGTTCAATCCCCACCACAGAAGAAAAATAAAAAATACAAAATAACACCACTGGGAAATATTTTTTGCGCAGTTGAATTTCTCCCTTTCCGTTCTGCTTTCTGTTTTCAGTAAAGAAGAAATCAGCGAGGAACGAAGATAAGCTAGGTGAAGGCCAAAATTTCAAATATTTTTCTTCCCTATAGGGCAATGGTGAAAAGCAAATGCACACCTACAATGAGACATAAGCAGAAAAACTACTGTCTTGAATCTAGTGTTTCCACACAGAGATCCAGCCCCACTTGACTGCTCCTTTACTTCCTTCTGGTTTACCTAAAGAATTAGTTATAGGGGCTCAGTGGTAGAGCACTTGCCTAGCATGTGTGAGGTACTGGGATTGATCCCCAGCACCACATTAACAAAAACTAAATAAATAAAATAAAGGTATTGTGTCCATCTAAAACTTAAAAAAAAAAGAATTAGTTATAGGACTCTAGTGATCTGTGGGGAATTCAAACACACACATTTTATTTTATTCTTTGTGCTTTTTGATTTTAGTTTTTCTATAATAAGCATCTACTTTTGCAATGAGAAAAAACATATTAGAGTTCTAAAAGAATTAATTTCAAATCAATAAATCACAGAACAATGAATTAAATCCATCTATATTATTCTATCAAGATATGCACAAAAGAAGCCAGCTACACTAGTGCATGCCTGCTACTAGGGAAGCTGAGGCAGGAGGTTCATAAGTTTAAGACAAGCCTTGACAAATTAGTGAGATTTTATCTCAAAATAAAAAATAAAAAAGGCTGGGGATGTAGGTCAGTGGCAGAGTGCCCCTGAATTCAGTTCTCAGTACCAAAAATAGAAGGAAAGAAGAAAAAAAAAGATGCACAAAGTATCAATGACTCTCAATTAAGATGAGCAAGTCTCTGCAAGAACACTGTTTAAAATAGGTTATGTGAAAATCAATTATAAGATGAAAAGTTAATTCCTTCAATAAGACATTATATTCTAAAATTTTTATGAATGTAAAACTAAACTTTGGTTTTCAATTTAAAGAGACAGGTTGGTGAAATTGAATGAACACAGCAAACTTGGGTCTGAGCTCTCTTCTGATGGCCCTAATTGCTTCAATCTTCTAATCTGTAAAATGGGGAAAACCCTATATCATACTTGGTTACTGTGACTATCTAAGATACATGGTTATAGGACTATCTAAGAAACCTATTTAAAAAGCTCACAGCAATAGTGCTGGCATATTATATAGTAAGTGCTCAATAAATTGCTACCATGAAAACAGTTACATAGGAAATATCCTAAGTGCTTCTACAGAAATGGATGACATATTGTTACTACTATAATTATATTAATCACGAAGTCATTGTCAACATTTATCTTGATGAGATAAAAAGAATGCTTCTCTTAAGAATCCATGATATAACCTAGGTGAATGATTCCAAATCAAATACTTTATCTTTCAAAGTTATCAAGCAAAAAGTACTAAGGATTCAATCATAGTCACTTATTTAAATAAGTTCAAGTTTTACAATTGCTACTATCATTATTTAAGAAAAAAATAAAGGAAACTTTATTTTTGAACTAAAGGAAAAAGACATGCAACTCCACAAATAAATGGCAATGCTGAAAGTAAATAAAACCAGAGAATTTTGTTCAAAATTATATGATTTTACTAGAGGTACAATGTAGCAAGGAATAATTTCTAAAAGAAGACAAATCTAGAATCCCCCCTTTTTTTGTTTACCTGGATGAGTCATGGTGACTGGCTCCTCTTTGGATTTATTATTGTAGATGACTACAGCAACTGCATTGTGAAAAGCAGCCCGTGATATTTTCTCTTTAAATGTGCAATTTCCCCTTTGCAGCAAGGCAATCCACTGCTTGATATTAGGAGGAACAAAGAATCTTGTTTGAGGATCACAGCCCAGATGATCAGCAACTAGGCAAAAGGAAAAAATACACATACACATTAAAGATAAACAGTTCAATTGTTCTTTGAATAGGATATATATCTACAGTACTTCAGGCAGTTCTCTTCCAGCAGAGCTATTACTATATCCACGAAAGACAATGCAATGAATCTGAATCGATGTCTGAAGTGGGAGAGAGATTTTCCATTAAAATGTTACCTGAACTGCAAATAAAAACAATGGGAACTTCTTAACATTACAGATTGACAAAAACAAAAAAGACTGGCAATATCTAGGGTTGACTGGAAAGGAAGAAGAAAGGGAAAACACAAAAGAAAACCCCAGAAACCCAGTTGACACTCGAAACCTGACTTTCTGTCCATTTACTTGCACTTATTAGTTTCTCCAAACACACCACCATCACTATCACTACTACCACCACTGGGAGGAAACAGGAGAGTAATTGTGTTTGGGGTAAATGGAATAGCCAAAGTCATCTTCCATTTAATTATAAAGCAGTCTCGTTGAAATCCAAACATGTCTGAACATACTTCTTAATAAATGTCAAAGCAAATTAGGGAAGTTCAGTTTGGGCCTATATTGAGAAATTTAAGTAACTAAAATGACATGCAAGTAGAATAAATATACTACTCCTCTAATTTGTATTTATTGGTAAAAATTACTCTACAAGTTCACATTAAATAACATATACTGTATCCACCATCTAACAGGACATACAAACAACAAGACCATTCCTTGGGGTTCTCATTACAAGGTCATGTGCCTAGATTTTTTTTTTTTTTTAAGAGAGAGAGAGAGAGAGAGAGAGAGAGAGAGAGAGAGAGAGAGAGAGAGAGAGAGAATTTTAATATTTATTTTTTGGTTTTCGGCGGACACAACATCTTTGTATGCGGTGCTGAGGATCGAACCCGGGCCGCATGCGTGCCAGATGAGCATGCTACTGCTTGAGCCACATCCCCAGCCCAATGTGCCTAGATTTTTGAAGCCGTTTGTTTCAACTATCCTGAAGTGCATTAGTTTGTGAGAAAAAACTCTTCGATTTTTTATTTCACACATATGGCCATTATAGCTCTAGTGGACTCTGCAAATCTTATAAAGATGCCCATGACTGCTCTTCCCATCTCCCATCCTCATATTTAGAACAGGTTAAAATTAAAACAAAGGGCAGTTCAGAAGGAGAAAAAAGCCACCAAAGGTAAGGCTGTAGAAAGCCAAGTGATATGCAGTGGCACAGACCTGGAATCAGTCACTGCCAATCCTGTGTGTACTGAGGAGGAAGGGAGGAAGAGCGGAAACAAAGCATACTGACACAAAAGGTGAAAATCAGAAGCAAACAAATTATTAAAAATATCAAGCATCAATTAATAATAAAGTATAATTATAGTACATAAAAAAATGACACCAGTGGGGAAATGTTTACTTCCCATGCAACTGAAAGCACACTGCTTGGCAAAACAAACTAAGTGTTTACAGTACTTATCTGTAAAATGTAGACATGTCACTAACTCTAGAGAAAAATCGCATCCATCATTTTCACTTAAACATCTTTCCTTGAATTTTCTTATAATTATCATGAATAGGGACAGCACTGAGAGCACATCTACTACCAAAAGTCTCTGAATACATAGTAAACGGGAGATGAACATTTTCAAAATTTGTGGTGATTGATACTGTCACAACGCCTGCACTCCAGAACATTAACCCTTTCTTATTCAAATTAAACGGGGGAATGCTAGGGATACAGCTGAGTGGTAGAGCACTTGCCTAGTATGTGCAAAGACCCCAGCAGTGGGGGTGGGGGTAGGTGGAAAGACAGTCATTACATTTCGAATTCAAAATTATAAAACAGATTGTTTACTTCTACCAATTATCTGTCTCACAGATAATCATGCTGTTTTAAAATACAAGCATTTAGGTCATGTGTTATGGCAACCCTGCGGTCCTGAAAATGCCCAATACTGTATCCAAATACAGAACAATCAAAGAACTAATTTAAAATATTACTTTTGTTATTTTTCAAAACATACATACTGAATAAACAGCAGAAAATGTAAAATAAGGAATATCTAAAGAGGTCTGTATGCTTGTCTTCTGTGAAACTCATTTGCTTTTCTGTGACTTATTCTTCCTCTCTGTGGTTTCACATGCATTTATAAAGTCACTACTTTAAGAGGAAAGTACATACTTAAGGAATCAGCAATACTTGGTCCAAATTCTAGATCAACTAGCTCAACAACTGTGATAGATTACCTAAATTCTCTGATCTTTAATTTTTACTCATAAAGACTGAGATATCCATTTTTTTTCTTTATTTTGGGGAGGGGACCAGGGATTAAACCCAGGAGTGCTTAATACCTGAACCACATCCCCAGCCTTTTTAATTTTTTTTGAAACAGAGTCTCACTAAGTTGTTTAGGGCCTTGCTAAATTGCTGAGGCTGGCCTTGAACTTGCAATCCTCCTGCCTCAGCCTCCTAAACTGCTTGGATTACAGATGTATGCTACTGTGCCTAAGACTGAGATACTCTTAACTCACAGAGTTGTGCATTCCTTTAGTCTTGAGTGCTTTAAAAAGAAAAAGAGAAATCTCATTAGGTGTGATAGCAAGCCTATAATCCCAACTACTCAGGAGGCTGAGGCAGGAGGGTTACAAATTCAGGGCCAGCATGGGCAACTTAGCTATTTATCTCAGAACAAAATATTTTTAAAGGGCTGGGGGTGTAGTTTAGTGGTACAGTACTCATCTAGCATGTAGGTTGGTCTGGTTCAATCCCCGGTATCATAAAAAAATAAAATAAAATACATAAATAAATAATAAAAGTAAATTCCCTTTCTTTTTTGTCACTGTCCATCCTGTGTTGGCCTCATGATCCAGTCTGGTGCCTTGGGGATTTTCTACACCAATGTATGTGAAATTTCCCCACAATTCCCTAGCAGCTTTGCATCTCATATCCCTCTGCCCCTAACAAGTACTGCCTCCAAGTCTCCTCTTCCCCTTTCCTTCTGATGGTATCACAGTCCATTGAGAAGAATAGCAGGCCAGTAATCCTCCTACTGTTTATTTGCTGACCACCTTCAGATTCTCAAACTGAAGACACAGCAAGAGGTACAACCACCAAGCAAAATACATCAAATCTACTGAAGAGATTTACTAAATCCCCACCCACTAAGAACAGATTATATGAAAAACTGTACAATCAAAACAAATTCCAACAACAAACTCTATGAGCAAATGAATGTTCCCATTCCCCCAAATTCATCAAAATCATCATCCAGAAAAGGTTCTGAAAACATGTCTTTTTAAAAAAATATTTATTTTTTACTTTTTATTCATTCATTCATTATTTATTTATTTTTGGATTATTTTTAAATTCTTAATACACGATTATACAATAATTTATCATATCTCTGATTATATATAAGGTATATTGACACCAAATCCACATCTTCATACATGTATTTTGTAAAATGATGAGGGTCTCCTTTTACCATCCATGCTATTCCCCTTCTCCCTCACATTCCCTCCCACCCCTCTTCCCTATCTAGAGGTAACCTTCCTCCCTTGCTCTCCCTCCCAACTCCATTTTGAGTCACTGCCCCCCCCTTATATCAGAGAAGACATTCGGCATTTTTTTTGGGGGGGGGGATTGGCTAACTTCACTTAGCATAATCTTCTCTAATGCCAACCATTTCCCTGCAAATGGCATGATGTTATTCTTTTTTAGTGCAGAGTAATATTCCATTGTGTATAAATGTCACATTTTTTTATATCCATTCATTCACTAAAGGACATCTAGATTGGCTCCAGTTTAGCTATTGTGAGTTGTAACTATAAACATTGATGTGGCTGTGTCCCTGTAGTATGCTGTTTTTAGTTTTGACCCAGCTATTCCTCTTCTCAGACTATACCCAAAGGACCTGAAAACAATTTTAATAGAAAAAATATAATAGGCAATAAGAAGCAAGAATAAACTATGCAAGCTCCTATTCCAGGAACTAATTATTATTCAGGAGAAGAAAATGAGGAGTTGTTATAACCATGTGATACTGTACTACACTCATCTAATTATTCCTTCCTGTAATTAAAAACTAATATGAACAATGAAATATTAACAGCTCTAAAACAAGAGCCAAGGGGCTGGGGATGTGGCTCAACTGGTAGCGGCTCGCCTGGCGTGCGTGTGGCCCGGGTTCGATCCTCAGCACCACATACCAACAAAGATACTGTGTCTGCCGAGAACTAAAAAATAAATATTAAAAATAAAATTCATTCTCTCTCTCTCTTTAAAAAAATAAAAATAAAAAATAAAACAAGAGCCAAGAATATTGGTCACTGTGATTAGTGACATTACTTCAAAGTTTAATATCAGTTTATACTTGAGGCAATTAAATGAAGATATTAAAACTTAAAAGATATATGCAATTATGAACCATTAAAATTTGTCAGCAGCAATTCTGCTCAAATCAGACTCATTTTCCATTTTCTTTATAGTTCATAAGGGGATGTTACCTCTAACTTCTTTATAGTAGTTACAGGGCTGAGAAATGAAAATTTGGTGATACAAGATACCATATAACTAAAAGATATTTTTATTTATGGCCTTTCCTGTTGAAACCAAAATTAATAAGACTTTTATTTACTTGATAGGAACCAACAATTATGGGATCTTCAACTTAATGAATATTTTAACTTACTTAGCAACATACTAAGTATCGAAGAGAAACATAATGGAACAAAAACCTTGGATTTAAATCTTAGAGAATCCTAAAATTATGGGGGTGGCATGACTAGCACAGAAATAGCAACAAGACAGTAGAAAGTGCAAACAAGAAGAGTGTTTAGTATGTTCTCTTATGATTATACTACAGTTGTAACTCTACATCATGTATAACTAGAAGAATAAGAAGTTATAATCCCCTTATGTATGATATGTCAAAATGCATCCTATTGTCAACTAATTAGAACAACAACAAAAAGGGGCTTAGAAATCTAGGAAATGAAGTTTATG